GAAACATCTACTGAATAGTTCTGTAGTTCCAAATATATGGGAGCCTTTATTACACATATTACCTTAGTTCAAGAAACATTAATATGGGATAATGCCACTAGTTACACATAATCAATAAAAATAAAACTGGCAGTACCTAAATCCAAAATTATTGCACTGTCATGTATCTGTCATCTTACAGGTTAGTAAAGAGTGTGGAGATGCAGTGACAGAAGAGGCTCTGAGGCATTTTCCAAAAGGTACTTGATGACAGAAGATAAATTTATGAGCTTTATTTCATTGAAATAAATAACAGCGGTAAATTTAGCTCTGGCACCAATGGACAAAATTAAAAAATCCAGAGCTATTCATGGACTACAACTCCTCAAAACCTGCATCCTCCTGTTTCAAAAGTCTATTTTAGCCATGCAGAATTCACTTGCTACAACCAAAATTATAGATTTGCAAGAAGCAGTAATTTTTCACAAAAAGATGGATTTTTTTTTTTCTTAACTTTTTAATTTAATCGTCTACAGATTAGATTCTTTCAATATTTGGCACTGTCAGTGTAAATGAAGGAGAATACCAGGTCCTGGGTGAATAGGAGAGAAAATAATGAAATATTATTATACTACACACAGATATACATGGAGAAAAAATACTCCCAAAACCCCATGGCTGCAGGTCTTCGCCAATATTAACGGACTGACTGGAAAAGGAATAGTGAATATCACTCATCTGGATTTCATGAAGGCTGGTTTGCTTTACAGAATGAGTCACTGAGATAGTGGAATACTATTAAAACACATTAAAGATTGGCTAAGGGTCTAGAACACCAGCATAAGATCAAGCCTTTAATTTATCTAGAGATCTGGACTGAACTATATAGTCTGACATACGACTAAACTATTTGGTCAGAGTCTTGTAAAACAGGAGATAAAAATGCCCTTTTAAAGCGACCAAAATGAAAATTTTAATTTCTTCTCCCTACTTTTTGCTAGGCCAAAATAGGTCATTTTACTATTCTTATTGGGGAGAGATGAAATTACTGAATTGTTTTGGATATTGCTTTGTGTTATATATGACTTTTATACTGCAGTAATTTTTGAGTTAAATGTGTTTGATTTATGTGGACTATTTTCTTTTAATTCCATTTTTGAGTAAAAATGAGCTTATTTGCACAGTAACAGTAATACAGAAAAGCCTAATATAACTACAATTAACTTTGTATTGCTATTAATGTACAAAAAACCCTAAAAAGGAAGGGAAGTAGCTTCCCAAATCTATGCAATACTTGGATATACTACAGGATGTACTATAGGAAACTACTTTCTTCCCTCCTCAGAATATTAAGAATTCACCACTGATTATCAGGAACTTACTATGACTTCTGTGGGACTGTTAAGTCCTCTTCTGAGAGCTTTTGGAGGTTTATTTGTCATTTCCTTGGGCACCAGACTTAACAGCTGCTGCGTGAGAATCATTTGTCCTGCCTGTGATAAAGCTGCTGATCAGGATTACTTCACTTTTATTTCAGGCCAAATCCATCACTATTTATTTAGGGCTTTTTTACTCCAGTAAATGCCCTGATCACTGCATTGCTCTGAGACATCTTTTAATAGGTCTTTCCTAATTATTTCATACTCCTTGGGGATCTTATGTACTCAATGCCCTAAAAAGAGTGCTTTTCCTCTTAAATACCTGATCTTGCAATTTGGCTATGAAGGGAAGTGAAGTAGTTTACGCTGAAAAGGCCACTAAGCTGCAGCCTCAAGGACTGAACTATGGAACAACTGAACTTAAAAATCCTCTAAGAGCGTCAACACAAAAACCACCCACCACTGCATTAATGAACGCAATATCATAAATATGCAGAAATTTCAGAGCACTAAAGAAGTAATCTTAAGAGCTAGAGTAACAAATGAAACCATTCAAATTACAAGATCATATGCCTAGAAAGTAGGAACAAGAATTTCTGTTGCATGCTGAAATCATTAGCTGAAATTGTAATGGAAAAGAAAAAAAAAGTCACTATTTGATTAGCAAATGAATTGAGAGTCATCAGCATGCTGTGGATATAAAGACTGATAAATCAGGAGGAGCATTTCCAATATACATATAGAAGATTGCATGCCACTGAAAACGTAATTGGTAAGACCTCCTGTAAAATAGCAAATATAGTTCCAACTACTCATATTTGCAGAAATTAATTTCCCTAAACAGAAGCAGAAAAAGCCTATGGTATCTGCCAGGAAATGGAAAACCTGTTGTGCTAAGAGATTAAAAGACATTGGCTGGCTTACTTTTCCAAAATGAAGACAGGATTAGGGGGATGTAAGATGGCACATCAGATGGTGAACATCACAAGGAAGAAGAATTATCAAAGTTGAAAGACAGCATTGGTCAAACAACAAAAGTAGAACTTGCTGTGAATAAATTCAGGCTGAAAAGAGAGTGGTCCCAGCCCTTCAAAGGGGTGAGCTTCTGAAAGCATCCTCGAACAAATAATAAGGACAACAAGTTTAAGATGGATCTCGATAAATTAATGAATGGTATTGCATAATGTTGTTACCTATTATGGAAAATAATTTATTTTGACACATGAGATATCTTACTGTCCTATGTTCCTGTCACTTTTCCCAATTCCTCTGCAGCGAGGGTGCCAAGAAGTCTGCAGACAGAAAGTTGGCAGGAGTCTGGGGATACAACCGCCTGTATTAGCGCCCCTTGGAAAGGACATGGGGTTCCACCAAGGCCACCAGACCAACTGGCAGCAAAGGCTTCCCCGTGCCCCTTTGCCTGCCTGAGTTAAGCCTGGTCACAGAGAGCCAGCACAGAGCGGCAGCTCAGACTGCACGCTTGTCCATCAGCCTCTGCTAGCTGTGGTGACAGTAGCACAGAGTCACAGTTTTTGATATAGGCACTGCTTAATTAACACTCTTGGCCATTAGCAGTTAATCTGCTTGGATTTTAGTTGATGACCTGAACGTGACACTGGACCAGGAATTTCCTGTCATTTTCTTATACTGTTCTTCTCTACTTCTTACTATCCTATTTCAGTAATGAAGTAACCCAAAACAAATCTCAAGTGAAGGCATACACACCATTTATCCATAGGACACCACATACACATTTCTACAATACTTTGTTACATCCTGTTGGCCTTCACAGTTTGTTCCTGTTCCTTTATGCTAGTCCCTGCAGGGATAAAGTTTCTTCTGAGCTATCCATAGCGCTATATAGACTATTTCTTCTTGCAAGGCTGAAACTAGTAGGAAATCTACCTGTGGGTATTCTGCAGTTCTTTTACATGAATATCACATTTGTACTAGATTAAAAATTTAAATCACATTCCTGGTGCTACTGTGAAGTTGTACTCCAGGTCCAAGAATTTATTATGAAGCTGAGAAAAATCCAATGTACTTGGAGTGACTGGGTTGTTCAGAAATAAAAATGACGCAGAAACTGGCATTTTTTATTTTCAGTATACATGCTGGTATTACATATCAGAGTCTTATCATCACAGAGCAATATGTATTATAATACACAGACCTATCAAGGTAATACTTATATTCTATATGGTAGAATATAGGGCAGCATAAACATACAAAACTGAGTTCCTCAGAAGCCATTCTAACACTCCAGGATGTCCTAACTAACTAGATACTTTACACTTTTTAAGCAGAAGATTAAACATTTTACCAAAACCCATCTGCAGTTTTAGTGACCTCACTTAAAATGAAGTGTTACAGAGAATTAAAATTCTTATACATTCATCTCAGTATGATGTAAGAGTATTGATGCTAGAGGCCATGTCCTCTGAGGTATCGAGCACTGCCTGAGGAGTTCAAGAGCTCTCATCTTTCATCTGGTATATGAATATTCCATGTTATGCCAAAGTCAAAAGCCAGGATTGAAGTGATAACCTGGTTTACATTTTAATACTTAAAAGTACCGCATCTGATCTGGTTCTCTGTACCCCAAGTTACAAAATCCACTACTCCCTTGCAAAAGTGTGGCTGAGGCTAGCCTGAAGACCCTTGTCCTTACGCTACAAATTTTCTTCTTCTTCCTCCCATGCATATTTACCCTTAGACAACATCTAGCTCAACCTCATCTGCCACTTCACAAGCTGTCAAGTGACTATTCAAGCATTTAAAAAAATGAAGGGTCTGTTAAATTGTAAATTAAATGGCAGTCTATAGCTGAAAATTAGCAGTAACATGCCCAAAACTTTATTGATTGCTAAGAAAAGGTGAATAACCACCACTACGCATGACTCTGTAATTACTGACCTTTAGAACCTATGAGCTATTAATTTAAGACCAGACAGCAGTGCACTAGCAAATGAGTTATTTTGCAATAGGACAGTAAAGGCACATATCAAGTTTTTGCATGTGTTCAGTGCCACCTTGAATACCATTGTTACCTGCCTGTATTTTCCATTTTAATGCAGAATATCACCCAAGCTACATCTGGGCATAAAACGTCTGTCAACTAGTTCAGAAGGTCAGTGGGAATGTACCCATAGATTCTGAACTCTTTCTGAACTCTTAAAAATTTTAAGAACTACACATCTTTCAAAAAATGTTTCTAAATTACAGTTAAAGGCAGGAAAATTGTATTGTCAAACTCAGTCATTCAAACTTTTCACCCGTAGGCAGAGTTGAAAATGGACAGTAACACGGAGTAATGGAGAATAGCAGACAGTAATCAGACATCAATAAAATTCCTTTACACGTGGGACACACACAACCCCCACACACACCCCTCTGTTAACACTGTTGAGTTTAATCTGTAGCATTCACAGAAATAGAAGTTTAAGGACTATTAATAGAAATGCTTCAGTAATATTTAACTTTTTTCTTCTTAATAATAAGCACTTACTTGGATGGAAAGATTGTTGCCTTTTGACAAAGCAAACTACAGTTTAAGTGCATTGGTCAGGTCATGGAGTTTACAGCAAGAAAAAAATTTAAAGATATATTAACTGGAAATAATGAAAGAAAAAGGTATCTGACCTGGTGCAGACGTCCTTCCATGAAGAGTAGTTTCACTAGGCAAGAGATCTTTTGAGTTGGAAGTGAACGGTGATTGTCTAAATGTGTCTTCAGAAAAGAAAGGGCTATAGGAAAAATAAGATGTCTTTTTGTAAACAAAGCAGCAGTTAACAGTAAATACGATTTCTGACCCTAACATTTTAGTATTATAACAAATACCATCTTGTTAAATGCCTGGTTTCATTTACAGAATTCATGCTGAAAGATGCAGATTGGGAGGCAATGTGTGGAGAAGAGGCATGCTTTGGTAAAACTGCACCTCAAAGCAAAAACTGAAGTCCTCCCAAAAGGGAGGAGGACATCTCATCACAATAATATATCAATCATTAAAATTAATGCTTCAAAAATGCACATTCTACTGTCCTATCTGGAGAGGCAATCAGAAAAGTTAGAGAATATTATTATTTCATAATCTGAGGTATATAGTCATTATTTTTAAACAAAACTTTTCAAAGTTTAGGTTAAGATACTGAATAGATTTCTTTTGACATGGCATATCCATGAATGAAAGTAACTCCATGAGTTTTATTTTTAAAGCAGAAAAAAATTCATATAAGCCACCTGAATGGTTATTTCCCAAATTTAAGTGCAAAAATTAGCTACTTTACTTCAAAAAGTATAGCATGCTTTGTTTTTAATTAACAAGCAGTAAAAAGTCAATTTCAACAGTGAATTGGCATTTCTGTCAAAGTATTTTGTTCTCTGCTCAATTAAAGATCTTAATAGAAAGAAGAATTCTTTGTCTGGAGTACAGACAGACATCAGTAATAGGTACATCAGAAAATTTAAAACAGAAAATAATAGTCTTTATTGGAAAACTGTTTTCTAAGACTGTGTATTCTATCGGCATGCCAAGTATCAATTTCTTCTAAGCAAAATGAGAATTGCATTAAATCTGATTTTTCTTATATTGAGAATACTTAACAGGCTGGGGTATAGTAGCTGTTTTAAGACTGCAGAACAGGAGGCCAGCTCATTCCTGCAGCCTGTTCTTCTTCAGTAACAAAATCCAAGAATCTTTTCAAGATAAGGAATGTAGCATGAGGTCTTACGAAGCATTGCACAGCAGGTAGTCCAGACCCAGACAGTTTGTGCCAGCAGCACCAACCAAGTGGACCCTACCAGTCTAGATACACAAGGTGTCAATCTAGACAACAGCATTTCCATACATTTTCCCTCATACGGTCTTTCTGCAGAGAGTGAACAAGGTGCTCTCCACTGAGTCACTTGTATTCTTGGTCAGATCTCTTCTGCCTGTAGGAAACTTGTTGATAATTAGTTAGCTTGATCATGTAGTGCTTCTGGCATTCACGTTATTTCTCATTAAATTTTTTAGCCATTGTTCATTGTGTGCTGTACCATACATGACAGTTAATGCGGTACTTTTGTGTTTCTACAAAAGTTTGAACATAACCATAAACACAGACAACATTAGGCTGTGCTGGAGGGTAAGGCATGAAGCTGCCCCAAACCTGAACAGTTCACTGTATGCAGATAGCTGAACGATGCATAATACTCAAGAAAACAGATGGTCAGGATAAAGCAAAATGGCTCCAGCCCACATGTGCAAAACTTAACTTTTTTGAAGACTCACACTCAGGGTTGACATAATATAAAACAGACTGATGCTGTATAAAAATATGGCATTATTTATTGCAACATTTCTCTCACTGGTTCAATAATGATTTGAAAGCAAAACACCAATTAAAAAAAAGTCTTACTACTGTTGTAACTCTTCAAAATATTGTAATCCATTCAAGTTTCCATGTTGGCCTGCCTGCTTAGTGCCTTAGATTCAGTCACTGAGACACTGCTCATTGCTTGTTCCAAGTGAAACGAATGATGCAGAGCTCATCTATTTCAGACTAGGTCATTTATCATGAGCAGGTTGCTGTTGAAGACGGCATGGTGTTATGGCATTGTGTTATGTCCCAAGAATTTCCCTCTCCATCTTTGGCCTCTGGTGAATTACAGGACCATCCTTGGATACCTCTTTTCTGCCTTCCTCTAGAATGGCAGCCAAGTATCTTCAGTGTTGGCCCTATTATTATTTTTATTTCAGCAGATATCTCCTCCAATTCCCAAAGTATGGAGGAGCTCCTCCTTCATAGTAAGAAACTACAAAAAATTATCTCAATCACCGTGCAAAGTCCCTTCTGATGAAGACTAAGCTTTAGGATTTTATTTTTTTTTTCTGGCTGCACAGTTTTACGGCTACACAGTTCTTGAGATGAAAGAAACTTGGCACCTTACACTGGCGTACTCACTTCCAGATCATTTGCTTCTCCACTTTTTGTCTTCATATCACAGATGGCAGGCTCTACCATCTCCCTCAGCCATTGAGCTGTGAGGAATCCTTGCCAGTTTCGGCTGCTTAAGCAAAGTAATATGGAAGTATATAGTTGCAAAGTCCAGGAATACTCACGAGAGGAACAGCAACAGATAGATGACTGTTAGAAACGTTAATATGAAATCAGACACCAGAAAGCGCTTGTGTACCCCATCTTGCTGGGCTTTGCTGATTTAAGACTCACCAATGACACAGCTTAATCTCCCTCCTGCCCAACTGCTCACAGGTGAACAACACTGACCTCACCTCTGCAGCCATCAGCAAACTTCACATAACAACTGTGGATCAAATGCCTTCCTGACATTACTATAGATGTAGGTTGGTGAGCCAAACTGCAACACCTCACATTTTCTTAATGCAGCCTGAGTGCCTCTATCCTTCACTGGCTGTTCCATCACATTCTGGTTTTGAGAAGGCATCATAACCTTACAAGTAGGGACTTCCAGCTGTTTGTTTGGTTTTGTTGGGGGAGGGGTGGAGTGGGTGTGGGTTTTGGCAAGGTCTTTCAAGTAAATCTGAACTCAAAGGATTTAGTAGACTGACTCACTTTCCCTTAAGAAGCACTTCTCATTCGTGTCTTTTTCTGTTGATAGATAGGTAAGACAAGAAAAGCACCCAGAAGAACTGAACTGGGTACTCAGCATTTCATGCCCTGATGGGCAGCAGCCATTATCAGGACCTCTCAGTAAAACTCAGTGTAGGTGTGACAACGGCCAACTGTGCCACCCTCTTACAAGTTGGAAGTGAGAAGAAGGGGAAGTTATCTTTGAACTGTCCTCAGCCTTTCTAGTTTGAATGATCTTTGATAGATCCAAAAGTAGCTCTGGATTCTCACATTAGTTCAGCCGGTAACATCATGAGACACTGAAAACTATTTTCAACTGACTATTTGTCACCCCCTCCCTACAATGTACACTGGATAGTAAATGAGTAGTTGGACATTAGTCTCTATATGTATCTCTCAGGCTTATACTTTTTAAGAAGTCATGGGAAAGCTATGCAGGCTGCAACACCCACAAATTCCCAAACTAGCAAATATGGAAAGCATTCACAGTAGCTAGAAGTTAAATGCTCAATTTAATTATCTATCAACTTGTAACATCAGAAAGTCCCTAACATACATTTACTGAGCTGGTCAGTTAATTAAAAATTATTTACTTATTACAGTTACCATGAATGAATGGAATAGGCCTAGGGATTTAAGAACAATATAATTTAGAGATTTTCTGCAACCGAAACACTCTTCCATTTCTGTCTGGACAAACTTGTCTTAGCTAGCAGGCACTGAACACACTGGGAATTCCTGTAGAAGGGGCTGCAGAGGCACAGAAGGTCTTAATCTATCTTTGAAGGAACTCCTCATCACTTCAGTCTGCTCAGTCTCCAATCCATCCACACTTGTCAGGGATCTTACAGGTAGGAAAGAAATGTTCCCCTACCCTCAAGGCTAGGTGAGAGCTGGAGCAGGTATCAAAGATTTAAGTTTTAGACTTGATAGCCAATTCCTACCTACTCCTCACCATGGGCTCCTAAGTTTTTTAACAATTCTAGCTACCACTTATTATCCAAGAGCTTTGAATTTTCCCATAGGGATGCCTCACTTTGCTGCTCATATATATTTAAACAACTCGCCGGCTTGTTCCCAGCCAAAATACTGCATTTTTCTTTAACAGCACATGCTGTAATTGATTCATGTTTTTAATTCCTGGATAATTCAATTTATTTTATTAATGGGACAAATGTTTCATTATCATTGTTTTACAGTCTGACTTTTAAAAATTAATCTGCAGAATACTAAACTGAAATTTTATTCAAGAAATCCAAGTCTGACAGAAGACTGAATCAAAATCACCTCTTCTTACATTGGTCCATGTCTTAAAATCCAGCTGTCAGCCTGTTCTTCCCTCAAGCACTGCATGTACTATGCAGTTCATTTTAAGTTTCATTTTTTGTAGAAAAAAAAATAGTAAAAAAATTCTTACAATGATGTGTGAATATTTGATCAGAGGAGAACCGTCATTTTGGTCCAAAGGCCTTTTGCCTCATGGACTCTAAGCAATCAGATCTATAGGTATAATTTTTCAGATATAAGTTACATTACTCATTAAAATATCTTACACTTGTAATATTAAGTCACATTTGCAAGAGACAAACACATCTGAGATCACAAGGCAGAAAGAAGCAATGCCATTTAAAATCATAGAATGGTTTAGGTTGTAGGAACCTTACAGACCATCTAGCCCAACCCCCCTGCCCTGGGCAGGGACACAACACTACTTACACTACAGCTTTGCAGATAAAATTGGACTGTACTTACCTGGTTGTAGTCTGGATGGCGTTATCTTTATTGTGGTTGTGCTCTTTGCTCACCTTTTCTGCAAAGGAACATACATGGGTTTTCTTTGTGATTAGCATATATCATATTTTCTCTGTCAGATTTTATTCAGTAGAACTATTTTAACGCTTTCTGATAACGGTATAATCCAGAATAATTTAGAGTAAATGGTTAGAGCATGATTAGAGAATAGGCATGACTTTATTTAAACTAACTGCCTACAGATTTTTCCAGCTTTGTATTTCAGTGTGAGTGCTTCATGCAGAGTGTGCAATACAAGCATTCATTAAACACAGTGCTGAAATCACTGCCTTTATGTAATAGCTGAGGTTCACCTTCTTTGTCAAGGGAAATGGACAGTGCAGCCCCAGGAGCATTGCATACTGCAGCCACTGACCACTGATGCCAGTAACTGCCATCTATATGTTCCCCTATACTCCAAGGCCTGGATCAACCAGTTGTCACAAATTATTTAATTAGCTTTCAAAAATACAGGAGTTGAACTCTGGCTTTTCCAGTTCAGTTCAAATACTGTGAACCTGACCTGACTGTCACAGTGCTCTAAAGCATATGCTAACTATGGGGACCATTTGGCAAGGCTTTTGTGTTTCAAATACGAGGGTAGAAGGGTGCCAACTCCTATTATTTTTCAGCCTTAGCAATCTCACACTTTCATAGCACCTTAATGGTTATACACAATCTCTTTTCATTCTTTAAATTCTACTATTGACTATTTCCACTGCTTTTACCTGATAACTGGAAGAGCAGCTCGGATGCCATTTTCACTGATATATCTTGGCTGAATAGATTTCTTTCTGGGATTACACGTCCTTCTGGTGCCTTCTGTATGTGTTCACTGATGTCTCGCCCTAATAAAGTGCTGTAGCCAACATTTTGGCTGGGTTGGCTGGGTGACACTGAAGCCTGCGAATCATGAATGTCAACTTCCATTGGTTCTTCTTTTATCTTTACCATCTGGGCTTCCTTGTAACTCTCAGCTGCAAATACGTATTTAAAAAAAACAACAACAAAACAAACCACCACCACAATTATTTAATGAGGTTACATTTTTTCAGACTACTCAAAGCAGGAATCATAACTGCAAAGCTATAATTTGTATACCATATCACTGCAAATGGTAAGGGAAGCAAGAAGCTGGCTGCTTGAGTATTCTGGGGATTATAAACAGAAGCAATCTCTTGATAAAATAATTTTTCAAACTAGAGAGCAGAAAACAGATGCATATTTGTAAATATAAGAGTTATATCACTTTCCATGAATACTGCATGATCACACCCCACTTAGTGAAGCTTTGCTTTTATTTATTAAATGAAGCTACAACTACAAAGCAGCTATCCAAAGGTAGGCAACTAAAGACCCCTTACAAGCTCTAAATTATTCTTTATCAGTAGAAGCATAGACAGTCAGAAGTATTGGTATAAGGACAGGGATGGAGAAGAAAACCTGATCTGCTTCTCCTCTGCTCACTCGCTTTCTCACAGAAAATTCCAGACAACTATAGGAAGAACCAGATTTTTATACATGCACATGCTTTCAAGATGAGAAGAGTATTCTGGGGCCTGTGCTTTTCTAAAGCCTGAGTTTGTAAAAAGCATAGATATTCCCTCATACATTACAAGATCTAATAACCTTAATGACCTATTTTCATAAGCCCATATCCTTCCCTTCTTGCCTTCCTCTCTCGTGCCCTATCAAACAAAACCATAATCTAGAAGACAATTTGTAGTTCACTTTCTACACTTGAGATTCCCCAGATGCTGCTGAATGCTTTGGTTTGGCTGCAAGGTAAGTGCTTATTCAAGCTCTGAAATCTCAAAATCAAGGCTCCAAGTTAATTTGCCTACCACAACCCAAATACCTATCCAGCCTTCTTGATTAAGACCTTCTGCTGTGTAAAGAGAAGTGGAAGACCTGTAGAATTCATTCTCAAATTAGTTTCAGAGACAGAAGTTGAGGTTTTTAAAATGATCTTCATTCAGAGTGCTCCTGAAAGGACACCGGCATCATGGCAGAACTGCCCAACCAGGTGTTGCCGCTGCTGGCTGGATGCACTCAGGAAACAGGCAGCCTCAGATGGGCAGCACAGTTAAATACCAGAAGGGTCATCCAGATAAGAAATCAGGCCAACAAAAAAAATAAAAATACATGGAATTTATTATTTTTGCCTAAACCTGTACATGTACTTCTGCTACTAGCCAAGATACTGATACTGAATTGCTCAGACTTCATGAGCCAAGGGTGGAAAAAGTAATCCCAGCACCCAGGG